CCAATATCTCTAAAGAATATAGATGCAAAATTCCTCGACAAAATACTAGCACACAAAATCCAACAACATATTAAAGATAAGCACCATTGCCAAGTGGAATTTATCCCTGGAATGCAAGAATGGTTCAACATTAGAAAATCAGTCAATGTAATATACTGCATTAATAGAACAAAGGAATCAATCAATCAATGCAGAAAGGGCATTTGAGAACATCCAACACCCTTCCACGATTAAAAAAAAAAAAAAAAAAAGCCAAAAACTAAATAAACTAGGAATAGAAGGGAAATTTCTCAGTATGATAAAGGGCATTTATGAAAAACCCACTGCTAACATTATACTCAATGGAGAGAGATTGAGAGCTTTCTCCTTAAGATCAAGAACAAGGCAAGGATGCCCACTATCACCACTGCTTTTCAATATTGTACTGGAAGTCCTAGCCACAGCAATACAGCAAGCAAAAGATATAAAATGTATCCAAATCAGGAAGGAAGAAGTAAAACTATCCCTATTTACAGATGACATGATCCTCTATATAGAAAATTCCAAAGATTCCACAAGAAAGCTACTTGAGCTAAAAAATTAATTCAACAAAGTTGCAGGGTATAAGGTCAACAACCAAACATTACAGTTGAGTTTCTGTGCATCAGCAATGAGAAAGTTGAAAAGGAAATTAAGAAAACAATTCCATTTACAATAACATCTAAAAGAACAAAATACATAGGAATAAATTTAAGCAGCATGGTAATTTCACACTAAAAACTATAAAACATTTCTGAAAGAAATGAAAGAAGATCTAAATAAATAGAAAGACAACTTGTGTTCATGGATTGGAAGATCTTACATTATTAAAAAGTCCATACTACCCAAAGTGATCCGTAGATTCAATGCAATCTCTGTAAAATTCTAACAGCTTTCTTTTCATAAATAGATAAGCCAACCATCAAATTTATATGGAATTGCAGGGGGCTCTGAATAGCCCAAGAGACAGTGAAAAAGAAGAACAAAGTAGGAGAACTCACACTTTCTGATTTCAAAATATACTATAAAGCTACAGTAATCAAAACAGCCTGGTGCTGGTATAATAATAGACACAGAGGCCAATAGAATAGAACAAGAGTCCAGAAAATTAAACCCATAGCTGATTTTTGACAATGCTGCTGAGTCCATTCGATGGGGAAAGAATAGTCTCTTTAATAAATGGTGCTGGAATAACTAGATCTACACATGCAAAGGAATGAAGTTGGACCCATAGCTCACATCATATACGAAAGTTAACTCAAAATGGATCCAAGACCTACATGTAATAACTAAAACTACAAAACTCTTAGGACAGAGCATAGGAGCAATGCTTGGGGCCCTTATTTTCAGCCATGACTCTTAACCATGACACAGAAAGGACAAGCAACAAAAGACAAACCAGACAAGTTAGATTTTATCAAAATTAAAAACTTTTGTGCTTCAAAGGCCTTTACCAACAAAGTGAAGAGACAACCTACAGAATGGGAGAAAATATTTGCTAGGTGTATATCTGATAAAGGTTCAATATCCAGAATACATAAAGAACTCCTACAACCCAACAACAAAAAGACAAAAAATCCAATTAAAAAATGAGCAAAGAACTTGAACAGACATTTCTCCAAAGAAAATATATAAATGGCCAGTAAGTATGTGAAAAAATGCTCATTGTCATTAGTCATCAGGGAAATGCAAATCAAAACCGCAATGAGATACCACTTCACCCCCAGTAGGATAACTATTATCAGAAAAATGGAAAACAACAAAGTGTTAACACGGATGTGGAGAAACTGGAACCCTTATCCATTGCTGGAGACCTGGTGGTGCAGTGGTTAAGAGCTCAGTCTACTAACCAAAAGGTTGGCAGTTTGAATCCACCAACTGCTCCCTGGAAACCCTGTTGGGCAGTTCTACTCTGTCTTATAGGGTTGTTATGAGTTAAAACTGACCTAACAACAATGGGTTTGTGTTTTTTTTTTTTTTGGGGGGGTCATCCATTGCTAGTGGGATTGTAAAATGGTGTAGCTGTGGAGAACAGTATGGCACTTCCTTAAAAAAGTTAAACATAGAACTGCTATGAGCCAACAATTCCACTCCTAGGTATATCCCCGAAAGAACTGAAAGCAGGGACTCAAACAGATACTTGTACACCAATATTCACAGCAGCATTATTCACAATAGCCAACAGGTAGAATCCATCAACAGATGAATGCATAAATAAACTGTGGCATATACGTACAATGGAATATTGTTCAGCCATAAAGAGAAATGACGTTCTAATACTTTCTATGACATGGATGAAACTTGAAAACTTTACGGTGAGTGAAATAAGTCACACACAAAAAAACAAATACTGTAAGATCCCCCTTATATGAAATACCAAGAATAGGCAAATGCATACAGACTAAAGTTTATTTGTGGTTACTAGGGGTGGCTAGGAGGGGAAAGTGGAGGTCATTACTTAAGGGTTACCGAGTTTCTATTAAAGGTTATGAAAAAAATTGGAAATGGATAGTGGTGAAGGTTATACAACATAGGGAATGTAATTAATATCACTGAATTGTACATGTTAAAATGGTTGAAATGGTAAATGTTTGATGATGTGTATTTCACCACAATTAAAAAAAAAAAAAATTGAAGGAGTGCCTGACCACAGGAAGGTGGGGACCCCTGCAGTAGAGAATGACGACTTCTGCAGAGAGGAAGACCGGGATGATAGTGATGCTTTAGAAGTAACCCTAGGGAAATGGCAAGCAGGAAGCCTAGAGAGAAGGTGAGCATGGATGAGGGCAGGCGCTTTGCATGTTTTGCAACATCAGATAATGAAAGATGAGTCAAAAGCATTTTACCCATACAGCCAGCCATTTCATTCCGTGCTCATATGCTAATACCATGATTTTATAAACATCATTTTACATACTTTGATGAATCCAAGGCATGGCTGCCTACACCTTACAACAAACTGGTCTTGTTGTTTGGCTCACTCGCATCATTTAAGAGAGCCTGTTTGTTGCCAAAGTGGAGGCAGCTGGCCGCTCTGGGGAGGGGAGGTGGTGGTGGAGGGGGTGGGAGTGGTGGTGTTCCAGCTGAGCGTCACCTGGATGTGGACCAGTTTTGCAGTTTTGAAGATTAGTTTAACAGTGGCTCCAGGGAGTCCACTGGTTCATGCTAACTAAGCTTATGGGAGAAAGTAGCGTAAATCTACACGTCTCAACTTTAATATGCATAGGAATCATCTGGGGTGGGGTAAGAGAGACCGGGTTCTCCTTAAAATGCAGATTCTGATTCAGTCTGGCTGGGGTGAGGGCCTGAGTTTCTGCATTTCTAACCAGCTTCCCACCACACTTTGAGTAGCAAGAATGTAAATCAGAGGCCTTTTTAAAAAAAAAAAAAAAATGTTTGGCACCTGTCACCACTTGTCTCCTAACAACCACAGGACTGCTTTAGGAGCATGATGGTCCCCATGGAGGGCCAGGACTTCCAGGCTTACTGGGTTCACAGGGACCACACGCCTTTCTGGTTATCCCTTCTATCAGCCTGGGCATCTCAACGGCTTAAGTTACGCCTTTGTTAAGTTCCCAGCCTGATGGTAGACCTGTTACCTTGATGATATGTATTGTATTGTTTTGCAAAGTATTGTACTGATTTTATTGTACTATTGATTCTCTGTATCCCAGGTCTTTCCCAGCCATTCATTTGGAAATTATCTCCCAAGGTAGGCTTCTTTCTCAGATGGTTAACCTAGTCCTTTCTGGGTTGGTCCTTCTCTCTGGGTGACTCTCCAAGAGTTAGGGCATACTGGCCACAGTGTTTCCATGATAAATAAGAGGAATCACATTTAAAAATAAATAATGTCATCTGGAAACCAGAGAGGTAGGATGGTGAGAGAACTAGGGAGTGCTCCTGGAGCAGGTTCATCAGTGAACATTGGCCCTTTGGAGTGGGTGGTCCTGGCAGCATCCCCCACCACAGCCTGGTGCCTGACTCCGTTTACCCAAAGCTCTCGGAGCTGCATCCCAGATGCTCATTCAGTGAACCCGAGCTGCAGACATGGGCATTCAATTGAAGCTGGATGCTTAGAACTGACATGCAGCTTGGTCGGGATCAGGTGGATCACCAGTCCTGGGTGAGTAGCTGAAGGGGCGTCACTGAGACCAGGCCACCTGTCTGGCTTTGTTGTTGAAGAGATCAGGATGTCTCAAGTGCTCCATCTAGATTTTCTAGCATCCTGCTTCCTATTGATATCCTGATTCTTAAAAAATAAAAATCACAAGAATACAATCGCCTTAAAGGAAAAAAATTGTTTTTCCAGAGAAATCCAGAGTGCTTCTAGGCCCTGTAGCGCATCCCTCCATGCGAGAAGGTAGAAAGCAGGAACAGGGGGAGGGCTGCGGGGGCCTCCTGCCCCAGCTCTGAGTCCGAGGTTTCTGGGGAACCAGCTTCTTTCTCAGGCCGAGACTGAACTCTCCACACCCTAAATATTTGTGGGAGCCTGCGGCTATCAGAAGGAGCTCTGGTAGCACATTGGTTAAAGCACTCAGCTGCTAACCGAAGGTCGGTGGTTTGTATCCACCAGCTACTCTGCTGGAGAAAGGTGTGGCCGTCTGCTTCGGTAAAGGTTACAGCCTTGGAAACCCTATGAGGCAGTTCTGCTCTGTCCTATAGGGTTGCTCTGAGTCGGAATGGACTCTACGGCAGTGGGTTTGGTGCTATCAGACCTCCTTCCCTACAGGGAAGGCTTTTAAAAAATCTCCAGTGGGTATAAAATCCCAATACATTCCCTCGTTTTTCCCTTTGTCCCCCTCTCTCTCTGTTTCCCTCAACATTTTCTTTTAAATTTTGATTTTTGGATAAAAAGCCCAGGCCAGCCTGTCTGCACCCTTTGCCAGCCTGTCTGCACCCTTTGGCAGACGGGCTGCGGGCTGCCAAGTCCTGATGGCCTCTGACGACAGAAGCGGACTCAGATCCTTGAGGTTCCCCTCGGCTTAGGGGGGACACTGCCTCTTCAGGCGTTTCTTCTTCTCCATCGCCAGTCGCAAGGCCTGAAGGAGCTTGTCGCTGTTATTCAGGATGTTGTACTCAGAGAGCTTCACCAGCTTGTCGAAGGCGGCCTCCGTGTACGTCAGCTCCTTGGTGGCGTAGGGAGTTTTGGGGCCATAAATATCAACCTGGCCCTGCTCCAGCTCTTCAGGGCTTCGCTCCACACCTGGGAGGTGACAGGGACTCACTGTAGATCCTGACTGTGTTAGGTTATAATGACCTGTTTATCTCCCCCAGAGGTCCACTCTGCACATAGACACACACACCCGCATGCAAGCATGCACACGTACTCTCACACACGCGCACAAACACCTTCAAGCTCTTCAGGGCGGGGACACATCTTATCCCTCTTAGGATTACCCCAGTGTCAAACACAGTGCCTGGCACATAGCTGGATGCCAATAAATGCTGAATGAATAAAAGGGTAGGGTGTGATTTGCCGCCACACAAGGCCTGTCTTGTCTTGCTTGCCAAAGCCAAGGCTGGCTAGGAACGGAGCTGAGGCAGGCTGTTAGAGCCAAGGCCAGCTATTTGAAGGCAGGCTACTGGAAGACTGCACGCTTCTGAAGACAGGACTCTTATTCCAAGGCCGGCTGGTGCTGGGAAGCCTGAGTGGAGGTGGCTTACCTGGGGCCTTGTACTTTTGGAAGGTGTTGTTGATGAGCGGGAAGAAAGCCACAATGGGGGCATCGGGCTCCTGGGGATTCTCCATCAGGTAGCATTCCTTGAGATCGTCTTCCTCGCCTTGCAGCTCATACTCGGGGAAGGGGATGTTCTGCACGGTGCAGTATTCACAGGTTTGTTTCATGGGCTAGAATATCACAGGAGGACATGCTTGAGTACCGGGATGAGGAAGGAAGAAACACAGCATTCATAGATCCAGGTTCCCGATTTCCCCAGCCACCGGCTCAGCTCCCCAGCCATTTTGCCTATGTGTCGTATTTTTAGAATAAAGCCGGGTCAGGACAGGGGTCTGAGGCAGTGGGTTGGTGCAGGTCCTACTGCGAGCTCCTTCCCCAAGTGAAATGGACACAAGCCCTTTCCACAGTGCCTCACCGACACACAGACCTGGGTAGATGCGGACAACAGGCTGGGAGGGTGGCCAGTGCTGAGCCACGCACAGCCGTGGCTGGTGCCCCTGTGGGACATGCATGGACTCTGAAATTGACTTCAAGTGTCTCCGGGCTGGAAAGGGCATGGAAAGGGCATCTTTATAGATCTGATATAACAGAAAGCACTGGACTGACAGTGTCAGAAGTCCCTTAGTTCTGCCCCTATTCCACTGCTCACTGGCTGTGTGACCTTCTGCAAGCCACTTACCCTCTCTGTGCCAGTTTCCTCATCTATATAACATGGGGTCACAGCGGTGACCTCAAAGAGCTGGTGTAGGGATCAAATGAGACGATGGCATGGGGACGTGTGCTGGGTCAGAATCACTTACAAACTGCAGTCACCATCATCTTTGTCGTTGTCCTTATCATCCTTGTGCACGCCCCCTTTCCTGGGCTTCAGGATAGAACTATTTTAAACTGGACCAAAAAATGGTTTCTATCCCTTAAAAAGGGCTAGAACTTTCTAAAAGTAATTAAAAATCAACAAAAACCTCTGGCCCTGGTTCGTTAGTGTAATTACACTGAGGATGGTGTTCCCTGGACATGTGTATGGGCGTGTGTGATTATTTGAAGTGGAATAAAGCGTTAGGATTGACTGGGCTCTTTTAAGGTTATTTTCTAAAACCTTTTTTTTTTTTTTTTTTTGCGGTTTTCAGAAGAATTGCTAGATATGGTAAAAGCTCCACTCCGAGAATAAACTCGAAATTTGCTGGTTGAGTTTACCTAAACCCCAGTCCCCACTGTGTGAGGGCCAGCTGGCTGCCCCCTCTAAAGTCTGGGTGTTCTGCTGGCACGCCATGCAATGTAGCGCCACTGTAAGAGTTTCTCTGATGCTCAGTCTTGGAGCCTGTGGGGGTACATGCCCACAAGCACTCCTGTGTCACAGCTGCTGAAACTGCCTGAGTTTTGTGGCCCCTTTGTGCTCTTGCTCAGGGTGAAGCCTATCTGTGCTGCACTTGCCTTGGTCTGGGACCCGGCACAGTAATTGAGGTGGATGATGAGGTCAGCTTTCCTGTCTGACCGTAGGAGCGGCGGATAGCTGGAGTTGACGAAGAACGCCGTATCCAGCAGGCACAAGTGGTTCACGGACCCCGTCAGCTGGTTTGGGAAGCCGTCGAGCACTGTATCTGAAAGCCAAGACTTCCAGTTACCAGCGTGCCCCAGCACCCTGCTCTCAGCGAGTGGTCGGGGCACTTGGTAGGGACGGAGTGCCCTCTGTGGAGCTCCTTCACCTTGGCCTGGGCCGCCAGCTCCCTCCCTTCTGCCAGGATACCCCTGGGCATCTCAGTGACTCTCTGGGTGAGCTGATGAAGAACAACATCATCTTAGGGCTTTAGCAAGTCTTGTATGGAATATGCACAGAAAACCCACTAAGACCAGCCACAGAGCTTGTAGGGTTTAAGATCATCTTATAAATTACTGCAAACCCTGGGCACAAACGTCTGCCCCAGACGGTGAGGACGAGAACTATCAGGCCAGGCTCTAGCAGCCATTTCAGGCTGTGGCCAATAAAATATCAGAGAAGGTGGAAAGTCAACTTCAGAGCCTTAGCGGGGCAGGGAGGAGGCACCAAATGGAATATGCAGGACCACGGTTTAAGGCCTGGTTCTCGTACTTACCCCTTGGGGGGTCTTGAGCTGGGTCATCCCGCCCAGCTCCAGGAGGCACCATGCACATCAAGTCTGTGAAAAAGGTGCCCCTGGAGCCCGGAGGCAGAAAGTTTTGCCATCCGCAAAATGTAGCCATCCCTGCCCTACCTCTCAGAGTTGTTGTAAGTCAATTAATTAAATACCCACACTGCTCCCTGATGCCAGACCTATGCCCTGTTCAGACACCATCAAATATGGAATACACTGTGGCTCATTCCCCGGACCATGTTCACTGGATCAGTCTACACCTGACATTATTACCCTGGTCTGAGAAGTTCTAGTCCTTTCTCTGTGGCAGCCTTGCCAGCCCCTTCTCCCTCCTCCAAACAGAGGCAGCCCTGGAGGAGAAGCCCAGGCTAGGTTACCTTTCCACTTGGAGAACTGGCTGTTCTGGAGATAGTTCGTGTGCACCTGCAGCCCCCGCGTGAAGTTGTGGAACTCAGACACAAAGGACCGGTGGGTGAGGATGTCGCGGAAAGTGTTGGACAGCCACGACCCTGGGATCACCACCGTGGTCTCCAGGACATTGGCATCACATTTGGGGATTTCAGGCAGGAGCGGCTCATCTTCTGCAGGGGAGAGAAGGGATGGGTCACAAGAGTTGGGGTCCCCAGATTGCCTGGTAAAGCACTAGCTGGCTGTCCTGGTGGTGGTGGTAATGGGGTGTCCCAGTTGTGAGTTTAGTTCACACTTTTCCTGTTGAGTTCCCAAGACCCTGGCCTTGGAACCAGCAGGACCCAAGTGAGAGAGACAGAACAAGGGCTGGGTAGTGGGGATGGGGAGGGAGGGGAGGTAGGCAAGGAGGGGTCCCAGGGAGATGTGGCATCTAGAAGAGAGACCTTCCGCTGTGCTCATGGATCCCCACGTTAGCTCTCCTGGGCACCCTGCCAGCTCTGTCACCTTCATTTCACATTGGTGTCACACTTCCCCATCAGACCACAGCTGGCCCTGCAGGCTTGCAGCTTAGCCCTGGCACAAGTGTCTCCACCTACAATCACTCCCCTCCAGGCAGATAAGCCTCTCTAGCCCTACCTGCCCTCCATCTCTGTGGGCCACAGGGTCTACATTGCAACACACAGCAGGTTGGACTGGTCCTCTCAGTTCATGATCCACCCCCCACCCACTTCACCCAAACATGAAGGGCAGCCAGTGGGTCACCCACCAATATCGTGCACTCTTTCCCTCGTCCATCTGTGGAAAAACTCCTCCGAGGTGTGGGACAGATTCCAGGCATCCAGCAGGTTCAGGGAGAAGATGCTGCTCCACAAACCTGGGGAAGAGGGCCAGGGGTGACAGCTTAGAGACAGGGGATGTCCAAGAGCCCCGGGCCCTACCTGCACATTGACTGGTTCTGCCTTGGTCTTGCTTCCCCTTCAAGCTGGGCTGCTCAGAGGATGGGAGAGACCCCAACCGCCGGCCCCACACAGATGACTGCTGATCCCCGGCCTTCAGCACTTCTCCTTCCCCTCAGTGCTGGGAGAGGGCTGTTGTTAGGTGCCATTGAGTCGGTTCCAACTCATAGTGACCATTTGTACAACAGAATGAAACACTGCCCGGTCCTGCACCATCCTCACAATTGTTTTTATGCTTGAACCCATTGTTGCAGCCACAGTGTCAATCCTTCTCATTGAGGGTCTTCCTCTTTTTTGCTACCCTCTACTTTACCAAGCATGATGTCCTTCTCCAGGGACTGGTCCCTCCTGATAACATGTCCAAAGTATGTGAGATGAAGTCTCGCCATCCTTGCTTCTAAGGACGATTCTGGCTGTACTTCTTCCAAGACAGATTTGTTCGTTCTTTTGGCAGTCCAAGGTTCGGAGAGGGTACAAAGGTGTATAAAGCACAGCCTCAGCAGGGACTTAATATGGACAAAGTGTGGGCTTCAAGTTCAAGTCCAGACTCCACCGCTTGCATAAGGCAATACACATGGTGAGCACTCAACAAATTAACGCTGTCTCTTATTATCATGGAGCCCTGGTGGCACAGTGGTTAAGAGCTCCGCTGCTAACCAGAAGGTTGGCAGTTGGAATCCATCAGCTGCTCCTTGGAAACCCGATGGGGCAGTTCTACTCTGTCCTGTAGGGTCACTATGAGTCGGAATTGACTTGATGGCAACGGGTTTGGGGTTTTTTTGGTTTCTTATTATCATGATTTTAAAATGTAACACATTAATAATAACACTCATGTAAGAGCTACCACATACATTGACCCCTCTGATCCTCTGTAAGTAGCATTTCCTCTTATGCTCAATTTACAGATGAGAAAAATTGAGGTTCAGAGAGATTAGCCTGAGTTTTAGCCAGCCTCGCACAGCTAATGAGTGAAGAGCCAGGGTTCAAGCCCAAGGGTCTTAACTACAGATCTTTGAACTACATGCTCAGTGAGTGGAGGGGACACACACAGAGGTGGTCAGAGGACACACAGGCCACTGTGGGCTGGGGGCTTCCAGGTGGGCTTCATGGAAAAAGTGGGGTTTGAGTTTGACTTTCTGGGAAGGCTTAGGGCGGGACAGATGGAGGGCTGATGTTGTTGTGTGCCGTCAAGTCGATTCCAACTTAGAGCGACCCTACAGGACAGGGTAGAACTGCCCCATAGGGTTTCCAAGGCTGTAATCTTTACGGAAGCTGATCTCCAGGTTTTTTCTACCGCGGAGCTGCTGGTGGGTTCAAACTGCTGACCTTTCGCTTAGCAAGCGAGCACTTAATCATTGTGCCACCAGGGCTCCTGAGACGGAGGATGGGGGTGGTGGTGCAGGACAACTAGTTTAAATAAGGTCATAGCTGTGGTTGAGGCTGTAGAAGTGGGTCTGCTTTCTTGAGGCTGTCCTTTGACAGATGTAGTTCATGTCCCTGCACTCAGAGGATCTGGCTTCAGGATCAGGGAGCACGGGGCAGGGAGCTGGGCCCGGCTCCCCCCGTGACTCTGCCCTTCACCCGGTGGTCCCTTCTGGCTGCTTGGATCCCATGGGCTGAGTAGGTCCCTGGACATAGGCATGCTGCTTCCTGGAGTCAGAGGGGGGAGGAGGTGGGAGCTGTAGAAGCTTCCACCTCAGCCTGCAACTCCTAGTCCAGCTCTGAGCCTACCCCAGGCTGACCGCTGGGAACCAGGGCATCAGGAGAGTCCTCTCTGGTTCCTAATGACTTGGGGGCCCCTGCTAGGTCCTTCTGGGCCCAAAGCAGGGAGATTGGGGTAGTCCCAGAGGCCTGTCTGGGGCTGGGTTTGGGAGCTTCTCCTGCTATTAGTCGATGCTGGCAAAAGCTAGAGGGTCCCATGCCCAAGGGCTAACGCAAACCAGCCCCGGCACCTGAGACAAGATCCTGGGGGAGTCGAGTGTGTCTCCCTGCCAGTCCTCCAACTCAAAGGTGGCACCTGGCCAGCATGGGACGGGGTGACCAGGGGAGACCCAGCCATCAGTCACCTAGCATGTAGCACATTCGTGACTCCGGGATCCTCTTCATCAGCCGCCCCATGAAGAATTCAGAGCCGAAGAGCTCGGCGGGGATGAAGGCCCCGTACTTCTGCAGGCCCACCTCATAGGGGGAGAACTCGCACCACTCTGCACAGAAAGCAGGAGGTCAGGGTGTCAGTCCCCGTCCAGGGCGCCACGCCGGGACAGCCACCCTCCCTCCTCACCACCTTGGAGAGTCTGGGACAGGGCACACGGGAGTATTGTCTGCTCTGCATGACAGCTTTGCAACTTGCAGGGCTAATTTGCTCCTCAAAGCCCAGAAAATGGGGACCAACAGTGACCCCGAAGCAGGGCAGGTCTCTAGAGTCCTCCTTCCCTTTGGGCAGCTTGAAAAACACCTAGGATCCCTTCCCTCCATGACCTTTATTTTCCCCAGCCCATGCATGGGGAAACACATGCCCAGGGGGGCCCCTGGACCCCACTCTGCCCCATGTGGCAGGGTGGGGCCCCGCCTTTTGATGTGGAGGTTGGCAAAGGTGTGGAGGGGCAAGGTGACCTGGAGGTGCTGTGTGCCTTTGCCTGCTGAGAAAGGACCCCCTCATTAGTCACTAGCCACCAGTGTTACCTCTGAAATCCTGGTTGCTTACAACATCCTTGACATTGATGGTGAGGTAGATGGGCAGGGGGTTCTGGCCTCGGCACAGAGCAGCTCGCTGCTCTGACAGTTTGCATTCATTTCTCTGTGGGGAGGGGAAGTGGTTAAGGAGAAGAAGCAGACAAGCAGTCTGGGGGTGGGGGGCAGCTCAAGATAAGGGAATGCTCTGGACCCCCGCAGCCCCATCCTGGCCTCTGAGCCCACTCGCGTGCTGTGTAAGCCCTGGCTGCACAAACTCACTCTTAAAATGTACCCACAGAATGAATCGCTGAGCTATCCACCACCCCATACACACAGCCTCGGTCCCTTAGACTCTGCCCCTGAGTCCCAGGCCTCCGCTTGGGGTCTCGGGCTGGAGGATGAGGGGGTTGTGTGGGAGAGGCCGCCACTTCCCCTCTTCATCCCCAATATCTCCCCCAACTCAGCCGCGTCAGCTCCACCTCTATCTGCCTGGCTGTTGGGCTCCCTCATAAAACTTGTTAAAAGTTTTTCTTTTTTTAAACGAAAGGCTTGGAAACCAGAGCCCTAGATGGCAGCCGAGGTCACTCTAATGGCCTGTCCCTTAGAGTGCTGTGCTGTGTAATCAGAGGGGGGAGCCCTGCAGCTCAGCCTGGTCGAAGGCCACCCCCAAAGCGAAACAGCCAGTGCAGGCGAGGCAGAAATGAGGTCTCAGAGGCCCAGGCTCTGACCCCAGGCCAAACAGCTGCCTGCCGGGTGACTGCCCATGGTTACCCAATGGTGTGAGGCCAGGGGACCTGTGCAGTAGAGTAAACCCATGTGGGGGCTGAACCTTGGGCCTCCTTTGAATGGCTAACGAGGTGCCAGTATAACTGGGCCCAGAGGTCTGGGCGACACAGAGCTGACGGTCCTGAAAGAGGAGGAAATTGCAGACTCGTGGAAGAGCGCAGTCCACACTCACTGCCCAGGGCTCCTGAGCGGAAGAGGCTGCTGCCCAGGCCCCAGGGGAAGAGCAGAGGCCTCTTGGGGTCAGACTTGCACCTCGCTTGGCCTGATGGCTCTCCAGCTTTCCCCAGATCCTGCCCCATCTTCTCACACAGGTTTCCTCTAATAGATTTTTACATGCTTCCTGCACGCAGGGTTGCACCTAAGCCACCCCCAACATGAGGATCCTAGTCGTGCTCTAAAGGGTTGGGAAGACAATCCCACTGTCTTCCTCCATCTTGCATTTGGGCACCTCACAGTTCTTACAGACTGAGGCTGCATCTGCAGGTCTAAGCTAAGTTCCTCCTGCTGCAATTTAAGTCCAGGTCTTCCTGATGAAGCCGAGCACCTACCTTGTCCCCCAGACAGGCCTCGATCAGCAGGCCCCAGAAGTCAGTAAAGGTGACTCTGTATCCTTCCTGGCTGCGCTGCCGGAGTTCCTCCCTGTATTTACAGAGCTGGTCTGGGAACAGGGCCGGTAGCTTGTCCTTGACTGCATGCCTCCGGGCCTCAAAGATGGCAGGCTCCAGGTTTTTGCAGGACCATTCGGGGTCTTGGTACAAGGTAGCCATGGTCCTGGAGCGAAACAGGCACACTGATAAGGCTGACCCAGCCCTGGTCCAATCAACCCTGGACCCTGGCGGGAGAGAAGGTGGGCAAGTCAGTGGAAGCCCTGACATTCCAGGAGAGGAGCTGGGAGGAAAGGGGGTGAGGCAGAAGCCTGGTGGGTGAGGAACGAACGTTATATGACTCATAACCACAATTACTATAATTTCTTGAATGCCTACTGTGTACCAGGTACAGCATATAGGTTAAGAGTGAGGATGCTGGACCCAGATCTTCTCAGGTTCAAAACCAGCCTCTGCTACTCATTAGCTGTGTGATCTGGGGCAAGTTACTTAACTTCTCTTCACCTCAGTTTCCACATCTGTGGAATGGGGATAATTAAGATAATAGTACCTACCTCATAGCGTTATTGCGAAGATTAAATGAGTCACTGTAATGTAAAGTGGTTAGAACAGTGCCTGGCACAAGACAAGTGCTGTGTCGTGGAGTAGTGGTGCCAACATTTGAACCCAGGCTCACATGATTCCAAATCAGGATTCCTGATTCCAAATTTTGGGCTCTTCTACTTTACCACACCAGTTCCCATAAATATGGATGCTGGCTAAAGATTTATTTTCCCTTCTTCTTCTTAATTATATGCGGGCAGTGGGAAAAAGTGAAACAAACATGGGGACTCCCAGCCCTGGGCGTTGGCCTCTGTCTGCCCCTTTGCCTGGATACGGCTTTTCTCCATTTACGTCATTGTTACTTTTATACTTTAAGAAGTCTTCAAAAACTATTAAAAATGGTTGTTTCGACAAGAATACTTCCCAGGGTTTTCCCTCTACCCTCCGAGCCTCAGCCTGGCCAACCCCCAGTCACTCCCCCTCTCCTGCCTGGCCCTGCAGTAGGCCAGGAGGATGCGGGTGCCCCTCGGCCCTGATGGAGGCAGCTTGCTCCCTAACTTACTACCCACCCACAGGCGTTCATTTAACATGGAGGTTATGAACAGGGGCCCTAGAGTCGAATGGCCTGTGTTCAAATCCCAGCTCTACCACTTATTGGCTGAGTGACTCTGGGCAAATTACTTGGCTTCTCTGTGCCTTTGTTTCCTCAGCTCTAAAATAAGCATAAACAACACTTTCCTCACAGAGTGATGATCTATAGACAGCAGTCACCACAGTGCTTGGTGCAGAGTCAGTGCTTAATAACTGTCAGCCATTCCTCTGTCCCACCTGGGCTGAAGCCTCTGGCCTCCTGACAGGAGGGCCTGGTATCAGGAGCGCTGGGGTTACCTAGGGAGAGTTCCCATCCTCTTATTCAAGTGAGAGTTATCCAGGATGAGAGACATATGAGGGGCACAGCGTGGGGGCTCACAGGCCTGTCAGCCATGGACAGAATAATGCTCAGCCTTGGCCGCAAGGTCTTGAGTGGTTCTGGGGTGCCAGCCATCCTGGACCAGGGCTGCATTAGGACTTTTGTGGGCCCTAGGCACTTTGCCTTCGTGAGCTCCGTTCTCCATTAATTTAAAAAAAAAAAAAAAGTTTTATTACTGTGTTGGTATAAAGACAAATATATTAATCCTATTTATTAAAACATTTTTATCAAATAAAAAATAAATCAATTAAAAAACATTTTCTTCAACCTAGAAGTTCCTTTCTTCTTCTGATTTTAAAATAAAACGCTTTCATGGGTCCCTACCACACCAGTGTTAAGGGCCCTGGGAGCTGTGCTCCTGTGTGTCAGCCGACCTTACCCTGGACTCACCAGCAGGGGCAGCAGTGGGGACTGAGGAGGCGGTGCCGGCAGCAGGGCCCCGTCCCCTCCCCTGCAGGCTGGCCTAGGAAGCTTGGCAGGGCACAGGGAGTGGGCAGGGGAGGGATGATGGGTCTGGAGTGTGGGCAGCCAGAGCAGCTGCTGGGTGAGCCCCCACCCAGCCTGGGGGACTTGGCACAGCCTCCAGTGCGGGTGGCTGCAGGATGGGATCAGTGCCACCAGAGGTCCACCCATAGTTGGCTACCACACTCCTGGGTTCCTGCCACAGCCCCAGGGAAATAGTAACGTGAGTAATGGCCACCATGTACGGTGTATCCTGTCCAGTATTGGGTGGAGCCTCTCACAACAACCCCCTGAGGTAAGCGCTATTGTTAACCCCACTTTACAGGTGCAGAAACAGCCTCAGAGCAGTTAAACTGAAGGCCCAAGGTCACACAGCTGTCCAGGCTGACTCACTCTAACCAGTGTATGGGGCAGGGATGGATTTACCCAACGAGCAAGATAAGCACGTGCTTAGGGCATCAACAAAACAGCAGCACCAGCTGTTCAGAGCAAAGACCCACTGATGCCAAGCAGACAGGACACAAGGAAAAGTGAGCACTGCAAGTGGAAGGGAACTGACAGGACACTAAATAAAACTGATAGCAGCCCCAGTGCGTGAGAATGTGCCTGCTGGTAATACAGTTCACGCAGGGCCACGAGGAGGCCCACACTCAAAGCTGTTTAAGCGATGAGGCCCCTACCACTTCAACACCTTCGTTGACATCTGTCTCCTACAGTCCCAGCCCACTGCTCACCACACTGCTCACCCTCTGATTTCACTCTGCGCACACACGTACCCACACACACGTGCACACACTCCCCTCTTCTGTGGGCGTCTTGAAAATACACTATTTCTTTCTAATAAACAAAGGTGGGGGCGATCACCAGAATTTTACCTTGATTGTCGAAACGACCAAGTTCACCGACTCATTTTCTTTGTTGGAGAATATGTGGAGTATTCTTTTTGTAGAAAACATGGTTTATAGTAAAAATCTTAGTACCCCGCATCCACTAAAAATTTTATAATCTAGTTCGTCTCATTCCGCTAAAATGACGTACACCACTTCTACTTTCAATTTCTAATACCTTAGTTGCATTGAAAAAGAAGTTACATCATGGATAGCTAAGACACACACACACATATATATACATATATAACTCACACATCCCGTTTGAATGCGTGAGTAAGCAGAGGAGGGACACCACAGATTATTAGTGTTTAGGGCCCTCACGTGCCTTAATGCGGCCGTGGTGTTGGGGGAGAGGGGCTTCACCAGAGACACAGGCTAGCCTGTTTGCTGCTTACTCTGGGCTCCACCAGAAGGTGGCTCTGGGCTCCTTACCAGGTGGCCCCTGACAGGCCAGTGATGTAGCTAGCACAGTTCAGGAGGTTCAGCTTCTGTAGCCCCAGCAGGTGGCCGTACATGGAGGTCATGGATCTTGACCCTCCCCCAGTGGCCATGATGGCTATCAGCGGTACCTGGGGCACACAGAGGCAGACTGTTGGGGAGTGCTGCAGACAGACAGCCGTCAGAAGCAACGGTGGCAACAGAGAGCAGAGAGTGGGCCATGAGAGACGGGCAGAGCACGGGCCACCTGGTGGGCCCAGGAGCAGCCCTTCACTCCAAACCCAATGGCTGGTGTCAGCAAAGTCACTCTGAAGCCTTACAAACCAAAATATCAAACCTATCGCCGTCAAGTAGACTCTGACTCATGGCGACCTCATGTTACAGAGTAGAGCTGCTCCATAGGGTTTTCTTGGCTGTAATATTTACAGAAGCAGATTGCTAGGCCTTTCTTCCACGGCGCCCCGGGGTGAGTTCGAACCGCCAACCTTTAGGTTTGTAGTGGAGTGCAAACTGTTTGCACCACCAGGGACCTAACAAAGTCTTACACAGGGTTTGGCAAATCACAGAATGGCTGAAAGAGTGCTCAGCACAGTTAATCTAGCTGTGATTAATCCAGGTTAGTAGCTGAGCACTTCCCTGTTGTGCCCCTAGGGCTCTCTCTCTCTCTATATATATATATGTATATGCGCCATCCTCATAATCATTATGCTTGAGCCCATTGTTGCAGCCACTGTGTCAATACCTCTCAATCGGGAAGAATATTCACCCAAGTGCTAACAGTGGTTCTCTCTTAGCCGTAGGGTTAAAGTGATTCTTAGTCTTATTTTCTTCTTTGTGTTTTCTGAAATGTTTGCTATAAACAGAAAAGCAAAGAAGCTATTTGCATAGTCTGTGTGTGTGCAGCGTTAAAGCACCTCGTGGGAAAGGAACCCCAAGTACACAGTTGAGTCACCAGGAACCTAGAACCTCAGCAGTGAAGGCAAACCTGAAAGGCAGTGCCAAGGCCACCCTGTGGCAGGGAAGGATTTGGGATGGCTGGCAGGGCATGGTGTTGGAAGGGCAAGCTTGGCTCAGAGTGGGCACTGAGCCCAGGCTGGCAGAGCTCTGCCCACCCACCTCGTCCGCCTGCAGGTCCTCCTCCAGCTGTAGCACCTGCTTCAGTGCCTCAGCCACCACCACCTTCCGCTTCTCCAGGAACTCCAGCTCTGCTGGGCACAGGCTGTAGCCCAGCCGCACATCCGGCACCTCGGGGCTGCAGGGAGAAGGGACCCTGGCTGATGGCGCCTGTGGACACCATCTCCATGGGAAGACATGGCTTTAGAGTCAGTTGGATCTAGACTTGAAGCGTGATTCTGCCAGGTACCACTTCTGTGACTTTGGGTCTGTGCTTTCTCATCTGTAAAATGGGACTAATCATGCCCAGCTCCCCGCACTGTCTTTAGCACTGAATGAGCTAACGAATGTAAAGTCCACAAAGCTTAGCCAGCACACTGTAAGCAGGTACTCAACCAAAAGAACTGCTGGTACTCATATTAGGTGCTCATAGAACCCTCTGCCTCCTTAGTAAGAACTGGAAAGTCCAGAAAGTCTTCCCCTGGGCGTCTTCTACAGCTGGAGGCCAGACATGGGCAACAAGAGACCCTGGGAAATTCTCTGGATGCAGCTTTTCTGAGCTATAGAGACAATGTTCCTGTTGCTGTGGAGCTCAAGTTCTTGCTCCCAGAATAACGATCCTCCTATGTGTTTGTGCAGTTGACAAAAATGCTTCACATTCCTGATCTGCCTGTGCCATCCCCACGGATCTGCGAGGCAGGTGGGGCAGGAGCTGTTGCACCATGACCAACACTTGCCATCCTTCCGTCACATCCCTGCCCTGAACACGTCCAGGCTCCTGGCTGGCCTCCAAGACCCTGCCTGACCTGTGTAACCCCATCTCTCATTACTTCTGGAAGGGCCTCTCAGGCTCTCAGAGTCCCCAGGAGCAATCCCATCTCGGAGCCTCCCACAGGGTGGCCTTCACTGGAAGCATCCTCCCTCTGCCCACCCTCATCCTCAATCCTCCAAGGCCCAGCTCCCTAGTGACTCAGGGTCAACAGACCTGAACAGTTTCTGACCTAGTCTTGGCTCACTGACAAGGGCATATCTCCTTGAAGGTGGGTCTGGGAGCTCCTCCCATCATATTTCCTCCATGTCTAGCACAGAACTGCAGACAAGGCTGGGGGCGTATAACTCTTTCTTTGGCCTCAACAAGGAATGAATAATAATACAATAGTAATAACATTAGTCGACATTTGCTGAGCGTCCCACTTGCCCACAGATTACTGAGTACTTTCGATGTGTTTTCTCTCTGGGTCCTCAAAGCAGCTCAGCAGTGTGCAGTATTCTTGTGACTGATCCCAATTTACGGATAAGGAAAACTGAGACTTAGACGGGTTACATAACTTGTCCAAGGACCAACAGCTAAGCAAATTGTAAGTGGAAGTTATGGTCAATTGATTTTTGCCAAGGGTGCCAAGATAATTCAGTGGGGGAAAGAATAATCTTTTCAACAGATGATGCTGGGACAATTGAGCAACTGCATGCAAAAGAATGAAGTTTGTCCCCTACCTCACCCTGTATATAAAAATTAACTCAAAGTTGATCATCGACATAAATGTAAGAGCTAAAACTATAAAACTCTTAGAAAAAATAAAGGAGTACATGACCTTGGGTTAGGCAAAGCCTTCTTAGAGAAAACACTAAAAGCATACGTGACAAAAGAAAAATAGATAAATTGGACTTCGTTAAAATTTAAAAATTTTGTGCTTCAAAGGACACCATCAAGAAAGTGAAGAGACAACCCACAGGATGGGAGAAAATATTTACAAAACATGTATCTGATAATGAACTTATATCCAGAATATCCAAAGAATGCTTATAACTCAATAATAAAGAGATAACCCAATTTAAAAATGGGCAAAGGATTTGGATAGACATTTCTCCAAAGAAGATATACCATTGGCCAATATGCACATAAAAAGATGCTCAACATCATTAGCCATCAGGGAAATGCAAATCAAAACCACAGTGAGATGCCACTTTACAGCCACTAGGATGGCTATAGAACAAACCAAAACAAAAAATCGACAGTAAGTGTTGATGAGGATGTGGAGAAATCGGAACCCTCACACACTGCTGGTGGGAGTGTAAAACAGTGCAACCCCTTTGAACACAGTCTGGAAGTTTCTCACAAAAAGTTAAACATGGAGGCACCACGTTGTTGTTAGATGCTGTCAAGTTGATTCCAACTCATAGCGACCCTGTAGGACAGAGTAGAACTGCCCCATAGGGTTTCCAAGGAGTGGCTGGTGGATTTGAACTGCCAACCTTTTGGTCGGCAGCCGAGCTCTTAACCACTACACCACCAGGGAGGTGCCATATGACCCAGCAATTTCACTTCTTAATACCCAAGAGAATTTAAAACATATGTCTACACAAAAAACTGTGTACAAATGTTCATAACAGCATTATTTATACAGTCAAAAAGTAGAAACAACTCAAATGTACATCAATAATGCAAAGATAAATAAAATGTGGTCTAGCCACACAATGGAATATTATTCATCCATAAAGAGGGATGAGGTGCTGATATATGCTCCACCGTAGGTGAACTTTAAAACCATTATGATGAATGAAGGAAAAAGAAACCCAAACTCGTTGCCATCGAGTCGATTCTGACTCATGGTGACCTCATATGTTACAGAGCAGAACTGATCCATAGGGTTTTCTTGGCTGTAATTTATGGAGGCAGATTGCCAGGCCTTTCTTCTGCAGTGCCAATGGAAGGATTCAAACTGCCAACCTGTAGGTTAGCAGACGAATGCAAACTGTTTGCTCCACCCAGGGACCTAAGCCAGTCGCAAAAGATCATCTGTTGTACAATTCCATTTATATGAATGTCCAGAATAGGCAAATCCGTAGAGACAGAAAATAGATTAGCGGTTGCCTGGGACTGGGGGGTGGGGGGTGGGGGGCAATGGTTAAGAGCTTGGCTGCTAACCAAAAGGTCGACAGTTCAAATCCACTAGCCGCTCCTTGGAAACCCTATGGGGCAGTTCTACTCTGTCCTATAGGGTTGCTATGAGTCGGAATCGACTCGATGGCAATGCGTTTGGTTTGGTTTAGAGTTGGGGGAGTAAGAGGAAAATGAGGAATGACTGTAATGGGTATGGGGTTTCTTTTTGGGGTGATGAATATTTTCTCAAATTTGGTAGTGGTGATGGTAGTACAACTCTGTAACTATACTAAAAACCACCGAATTGTTCACTTCCGAGGGTGGATTTTATGGAATATGAATTCTATCTCCCTAAAGCAGTTATTAAAAAAAATTATAAATGGCAGACCTCAAACCTAGTCAGACACCAAAGTCCATACCTGTAGTTTCTAGGGTGCCATGCCTGGCAGGTAGTGAGGGCAACAAAGATGCATAAGGAGGAGGCTCAATTTTAGGCCAGTTTGGTTAGTCTTTATGCTCAGGGACACACAGAAAAAAAAAAATATATATACACATATATATGTATATATATGTTGCTTACTGCCACTTCTTAACCAGAAACCCTCATCCCTAGCCTTTCTCTGGAAGGGGAGTGGAGTAGAAGCAGCACCAGCAGGAGTCCCTGCTTGTGGTTCAAGAGGAGGTACCCAGGCAGGGGGTGGAAGGCAGGATGCAGAGGGAACTCGACCCGGCAGGGATGGGGGTGATGGATGGGTCTGGCACCCTGTCCAAGGCCTCTGCTGCCCAACTGCTTCTCTCCCCTTATCCCCAGACTCTGCCACACAACCACCCGTGGGCTCAGCCCAGGAGCTGAAGCCCTACCGGGGGATGCAAGTTTGAGACGGGGTGGTTAAAGTTTGCCAAGGCTTCTGTACCTTTCCTCATCATCAGTGACGGGGAGGAACTAGGGGCCCAGCTATGAGTAGGTGGGTTTCAGGCTGCTGGATAGGAATGTACAGGGAGGAGAGTTATGGGCAAGTTATGGTTCCTTTCCTAGCACCTCTTCAGGCGCCAGCAGGCTACAGGATACTTTACCAGTCTGTAGACTTCATGTGTAATTCACAGTTCTCACCCTGGGGACCAAGAGATGAAAGGCTTGTCAGGGGTGATGATTCAGAGCCAAGTGATCCTAATCTAAGATATGGAGACTCACCACACTGCTCACCCTCTGATTTCACTCTGCGCACACACACACACACACACACACACACACACATGCACACACTCCCCTCTTCTGTACATTATCCACCCCCCCATCTGAAGCTCATTAGTCTCCCGCCCCACACAAGGCTCCTCTATCCTGCCTGAGAGAGACCCCCATGAGCCTCCTCCCCCATATGCCCTTTAGGGTCTCCCCATCTCCCTGCCCCAGGAGCTCCAGACCAAACTGCTCAGGGGCCCTTCCCAGACCCGGGCCCTCACCACAGGCAGGGTCACCGCCTGGCTGTCAGGAAGGCAGTCCAGGGGCTGGCAGATGGGGCCGCTCTTCTTGCGCCTGCTGCAGCAGCAAAGCTGGAAGGACGGGAGGGCTCTGTGAGGGGGTGTGGGGCTCTCTGGCAGGCCTGCCTGCACGGCCCCCCACGTCCCCCACTGCCCCGCCGCGTACCTCATAGCTCCTGTGGCTCTTGGGCAGTTCCACTTGCAGCTGGGGCTGGAAGTACTTGGGGTAGTGGAAGCGGGAAGGGTTTGGGCTGCAGGGCTCCAGGCAGGGCAAGATGCGCTGGGTGTGTTCAAAGGACTCGCTCACAGTCACCAAGAAGCCCTTCTCTGGAAGAGAGGACAGGAGGGCTGAGACGCCTGGGGCCGGGCCCAGGTAGCCTCCCACTCACCACAACTTGACCCAGCAAAAAGCCGAACTGGAGGTGCCCAGGACAGGGGCTTAGAGTCACCCGGGCCCTGGTGAAAATACTGATGACCAGGACCCACCCCTAGAGGTCCTCACTCTGAAGGTCAGGGCCCGGCCCAGAAGTCTGCTTTTTAACAAGGGCTGTGTCTGTGAGCTGACAAATGTGGTCTCTAGAAAACCCTCTAAGACGCTGAGGGGTCCTCTGGACTGGGCTTTGCCAGGAGACACCCCAAAGTTACTCCCGACTGCAGAGAAAGCAGGACTGCCCACACCACCAGTTTAGAGTAGAGGCCTCTCCCTCCCCCACCCCCTCTCTGCAGGGGTGTTGCTCCCCTGCAGGGACAAGGTGGGAAGCCTTGCATGGGAGGGCTGGATAGGCAGTGAGACCAAGAGGCTCATTTCTGTGGATCGCTTAGGTCTCTTCCAGCTAGAAAATGCTATGACTTCTATGCATTATAATCTGGCTGGTGGAAGGACACAGCTAGAGGGCCCCCGAGGGTTGTCAGTGTCTGCCCACCCCAGGTGCTGGCCACAGCACTAGACCCCATGATCCCCTGGGCCTGGCTGGGGGCACGGCATGGGCCCTGGGTGGCAGAGCAAGCAGGCAGTGCTGCTCTGGGCACTAGTCAGGCTCCCCAGGAGGAACATGTCCTTTATGAGGCCAGCGGGGGAGCCGGGAGCTATGCGCCTGAGGGTGAGGAATCTCAAGCTTTGGCAGCCCTGGGCCAGCTGACCAAGTTGGCAGGGTTTGCAAGGAGTTCTCCCCTCCTCCCCAGCAGGCAGAGGGCTAAACAGCTCACTTTTCCTTCTCTTCCTCGGACGCCTGGCTTCTGCGTGAACCTCCAAACAGGAGACTTGCCGGGACTGTAACAAAGGAAGGAGAGGCACGGAGACTCTGAGCACAGGCCGGCCCCTCCTTCTTCCGGACCAAAGAGAGGTAAGGAAGCGAGAGAGGATAAATACGGTGACGGTCTGAATTTGGGTTGACTCCAGGGGACTCTGGGGATGCTGACCCCATTTTCTGAACCCAACTAAGGCATGCCGTCTTACTCAGAGATAGAATATTTGAAAATGAAGCTGTCCTGTGAAATTTAGGATGTACATTCACCATTTGCTAACTATTTGCTGTTGAGTCAACTCTGACTCATGGTGACCCCATGTGTGTCAGAGTAGAACTGTGCTCCAAAGGGTTTTCAATGGCTGATTTTTCAGAAGTGGATCACCAGGCCTTTCTTCCAAAGTGCCTCTGGGTGAACTTGAACCTCCAGCTTTTCAGTTAGCAGCCAAGTGTGTTAAACCTTCGCACTACGCAGGGACTCCCCCCATTTGCTGGGGGTCATGTTTTCAGGGGTAGGTCAGTGATTTAAACCTGATCCACAGTGTTTTGATCTGAAACAAAAAGAAGAAATGTTCAGCTCTGGGCTCTGCAAGTGGGAACTTCCAACAAAATAACTTCTCAAGAAGCAGAGGCAGGTCACAGTCCATTGCCACAAACTCCCAAAGACTCTGAGTTTTGGAGAAGGGTCTCCTTGGACCCTGGGGCATTGGATGCGTTTAATTGAAATAGCTGTACCAACAGCTGAACTGCAAAAATCGTTTTACACTGGACACGTGTGTGTAGAGGAATTGAGGTTGTGAAGGACAGGACTGAGCATGGGAGGAGGCTGCCTCTAGTGAGCGCTTTTAATGGGGAGGTTCCCAGGAAGAGGAGCTGTCTTTGTGGGGCATGGGATGCTGGGCCAGGAGGATGTCCCAGCTACCTCCTCCTCAGCTGCAGGAGCCCAGGCTCTGCCCCATCCCTGTCTGCACCCCATCTGGCTGGCCTCAGTGAGTCTGACTCAGGAGGGGACCAGGGTCAAAGCTGGACCCAATGTCCTCTCCCACAGTTCAGTTTCCCCTGAGAACAGCAGCCAGACTTGGCCTCTGGAGCTACAGGAACCCGGAAGGTCACTTACCACTAGAACGCCATTGGTGAGGAGGGTCTCAGGTGCAGAGGGACTGACAAACAAAACGAGAGCTTCTGGTCAGTGATATCATTCTTGACTGATTTCTCACGAAGGTGATGAAGAGTATGAATAGGGTCAATAGTGCAATAGCGGTGTCTATAGCTTTCTTGCTCCTCATGAAAAATACTGGCTTATAGACTTGTGGGTTGTCAAGGAAAAAACTGGCATCCGTGTTAAATAGACTGTCCAGAAAAAAATAAATCTATAGGCAGAAGAGGTAGAGATTTCTCTAATTCTCTCTTCCTTTCTCGCTCTCTCTCTCTCTTCCTCTTTCTTCTGGATAACTTCTCTTTGGGTCCAACCAAGCAGGTTGCAAGAAATGGCTGGAGCCCACCAATCAGAGCAGACTGTAACAGTTCTGATGACAAAAATGACTCATTCTGCCCTTTATTTAATGCATGCATGTTACAAACATTCTGACCCAGCCAGAGAGGCAGAGAGGGGCCTGGTGGGTGTTGGAGGTAATTGTTCTTGTGTTACAAAGCCAAGAAAATAGGCCTCCAAAGTTACAATTAGCCTCTGGGGGTCCAGAGCTTTCCTCACCAAAATCAAGCCCAAGGTGACTGCGTCCCGAGATTCATTACCAATTTTGACATATTTCATTTTGCAAGCCACTTTCTAATTCAGCCAAGGACTTTCTCTCCTGAAAGTCCTGTCAAACCAGGAACTAGAGGAGAGAGCCCCAGATTTGCTTCACCGTGATAGGAGTAAAGTTGATCTTAATTTGTCAATCAGCTGTTGATGGGAAATGAGGCACCTCAGATGGTTTCAAGAACCTCTAGGCACAGGGTTCTCCCAAAGGGATTTGACAGCCCTCTTGTTCTATCTTGTACTTCTCAAACTCCCAGCCCCAGGCCATCAGAGTACAGGGGGCTCAGCCCTGGGGGATAAGACGGAGGCAAAGCTGGTGGCCTGATTACAAGGCACACTGCCCTCCTGGGGAGAGGCTTCTCCCCTCCCTCCCCGCCCTTTCTCTTCCTTCTTTGTCCTCTTCTCCTTCCCATCCTCTGGCTCTGTGATCCAATTCTCCAGTTCCCAGCATGGCCACACCTCCAGGACCCTAACTTTAAATGATGGGAAATAGCCCCATGGTTGGGCCTGACTTGGTCCAGAGCCAGTGCAGAGGGGGACAGCTTCTGCTTTAGATCAAGGTTTATGGTCAGGGTGGAGACCCCTTGGTCCTGACCTCTTTTCTCAGCTGGGCCTCAACAAGATCACCATCATCATGGTGGCAGGAATACTACCTAGAGGCCACCTCGGGAGTGCAGGGGAACTGAGGCAGGCTTAACTAGCCTAAGCAGTAGTCCTCATCCTGGCCACACATTATAATCCCATGGCGGGGGTTGGGGGGCGGCAAGGGAGGCTTTAATTAATTAATTATTTATTTATATTGTACTTTAGATGAAGGTTTACAGAACAAATAGTTTCTCATTAAACAGTTAGTACACATATTGTTTTATGACATTGGTTA